AAATCTTGCCACTCTGGCTTTATTTTGATCAAAAAATAAGCATCTTTGCTTGGAGATCACATGGTTTGATGGGAGAAGCTCTTTTTAATGGAGATTATGCACAAAGAGCGTGCATTTAGGTATTCAATGTAACTGGAGAGCAAGAACTTATTATTTAAGGGCAAGTCAGGTGTGGACATGAAAGGAATATATTATGAAATGGGGAATTTTCCTTCCCAGTATCTCATTGTCTGATGTCACATGGATTTAACTAAGTTTTCTTGCATTCCTTGAGAATGAGAATATATAGGAGCGTTCTTTGCAACTACTATAAATATTGGTTAATTGCTTGATTTGGAGGAAATCGTTCATCTGTGTTCATTGCAGCCTAGTAAAATCTGTCAACAAATACAAAGAACAGAGTGGGTGCAAAGCCTGTATTCTGGCTTCTGTTGGTGTCTATTAAAGAATAAACATAGTCCCTGCCCTCAGCTCACAGATTTGACTTGCAATTGTGTAAACAGGCAGTATGGCACTCCAGAAGAGGAAAATTTTAATGCTAGTGTTCTGTGATTTCAGATAAGGTGGCCATGGTTACAATAACTGCCTTTGTGATTACAAACTGAAATGGATTTTGTCTTGTTTTGAAATCAATCTCACTGTTTTGTTAGATGATTTTCATTTTATATGCCAGTATAATCTCTGCAGAATTCAAAACATGGAGCTATTTGTCTGTCCCCAAAGACTTTATGTGTTACATGACAAAAGAGGGAAGCTAGATAGGTGATTGAACTTTTAATCATTTTAAAAGAAAAATCTGATACTGAAAGCACAGGTGTTGAAGGATGGTAGAAAAGCCCTAAGGACATTTACTCCACTTTAGGTATTTAGCCGTTAACGGTGATGTCATATGTCTTGTTATTTAAATGAACATTAAAGGAAAATTTCCCCCACTGTGTAATTTCAGCTGTAACCTGGAAGCTGGCCTTGCCTCTTTTGCTAACGTGTAATTTGAAGAAATGGAAGCTGAAGTTCTCTACTTTCTGAAATACTTATTTTTAAGTATTTAGATCTAATCACATATTTGTATTACTTGTATCATAGAGGCTAGGTTTTAATTGCTCAGAAATTAAAGGATTCTATTTGGTCATTCTTTCAGTTATAGCTATTCCTTTTGATCTGTAATACTTAAAGTAAAGAGGGACAATATTCCTATGTTTTATCCTGTAAGTACTTTACCCACCTGTAGGCTCTTGTCATAGTATCGTGATAGCTTCTGGCAGTTTATTTCAGTCTATTAGGCTTGCCACTTAATCAGCTGGGTCTGAATTACCGTGTCTGGAAGGCTGGTTTACATCATTTCTATTTGGTTCTTGGTTGTGGCAGGTCAATGTGCATCCTTTTAAGTGAAAAATGACAGTATTTGAAGGTGCTGATGGTGTCCAGGGGCTCGTTCAGGTAGAGTCTGCTGGCTGCTTCCATGAGCGGCATCACAGTGGTGTTTATATTTAGAAATTTACACTGTTTTCCTTTGGTGCTCTACCTGGGGTCAGAAATTCATCATGCTCCCTGTCTTAAAAGGCTAGTGCTTGGCAGAGTGACTCTCAAAAAAAGCCCTTCAGAGCTTTTGTTTAATGCCAGAATGCTGGTTTATTAATTGATTCCCAGAATCCTGTCTGTGGACCTGTCAGACAGTTGGATTGGTCACTAAACCAGTGTTCACTGCATTATTGAGACCCTTATTATGTGGTGCTTCTCAGAGAAAGCAGATCAGAACAAGGGAAAGTAGTTTTCTGATGCTATGTTAATAGCATCCAGAACTGGATGTTTGGGGAGTGTGTTTTTAAGTACATAAATACTTTGTGTCAGATAATCTCTGTATTATACCACCAATGGCGGCTCCTCTGGCCTGTTAACTGTGTTCCTCTATCCGACTCACCCGCCTGATGGCCACAGTCTTTTAGGTTTGATACCAAGTTGGGGTTCTGACTTTGAGGCCATGGATGACTATATACATCACTCCACTTTGATCTATGTTAATTTCAGAATTTAACTCATCAGGAGCAAACTTAATTTTCTCCTTTCCAATTTACATGTATATAGTAGGTTGGGAGGATGCAGAGTCCTTAATATTAGCACTCAAATATAACCGCTTACAATTTCTCCAGGTCACAATTTGATTAAACTTTAGAATATATATGTACATTGATGTTCTTTTTAACTTTATTCCAATTAAGATATATGTACATTTATCTCCACACAAACCCTGTCCCCCTCCCCCCCAATCCCTTATACTCCTGCTGTGAGTGAAACTATCTGGTATTTTTCTTTTTCTTTCTGGCTTACTTCACTAAGCATGATCCCTTCCAGCTCCATCCATGTTGCCACAGTGGCATGAGTTTATCCATTGTAATATTCCATTGTGTGTGTGTATATATATATATATATATATATATATATATATATATATATATATATATACCACATCTTCTTGATTCAATCATCTATTTTTGGGCATTTGGGTTGATTCCACATGTTCCCTATTATAAATAAAGCAACAGTAAACATAGGGGTGCAGATGTCTTTTTGAATTGGGGGAGGAAAGGGGAAACAAGATCAAAACTGGGATGGGAAGAGTGTGTGGGACTATGGGGATGGCACATGGATGAAGTGGTGATGTGGAGTCCACGAGGCTTACAACAGAGATGAAAAAGGTAAAAATTACAAATAATGTAAAATATATATATATATAGACACACATACAAATTAAAAATAATAATAATATAAATGTAAGGTCTTCCCCTTGACCTTCGCTTTAGGGAGGAAAGCAAAACTGGAAAAAGATAGCAGGTATCTGATGACCACTGGTGTGGAAGATGTGACTGTCCTGAAAACAGCTGATCACTGCCAAATAGGCAAAACAGGGGTCGGGGGTGGGTGGGTGGTCTGTAATGAGACATGCAAGCCAGAGTGTCCATGTCCTTGCCCTGTAGGATGTGTTTTCCCAGTGGCACAGACACACTGCTGTGCACTGGTGGTGACCAGGACCACCATGGTCAGGCCCAGGCTCGTGGTCAGTGATCGAGGGAAAGTTGGGCTCTGGAAGAGTTCATGATTAGAGTCTTGGACAAGCTTTATTGGCATGACAACATCAATAGTTCTGTCTTTAGTTTTAATGTGTACATTTTTTGCTAAATGACACACCTGAGGATTGGTTGATTGAGACAGGGGGAAAAATAATCTGTGCTTACTAGACAATCAATTTAGTTATGATTTAATTTTTGACTTTTTTTTTTTTTTAAATGGCATACCCTTCAGCATTGTTTCTTTCATTACGACTGTCAGGGCAAAATTGTGTTTACACAATTCTCCAATGCAGACACACTGTGGTCCTCATTCAGGTTCAATGCTGACCTTTTAGTGAAACTTAAAGGAAGTCTTTTCACCAGTGTTCATTTAAGTAACAATTTTTAAAAAGATTGGACTCTAAGCCATGCCCTTTTTGTCTGTAAAGTTCTCCTTGGTAAGAAGATTTAACCCTAACAACTTTATTACAATTTTCTTCAAATTCTGTCTGAGCTAATTATCTTCCTAGTATATCTCAGGTTTGTTCTTGGTTCCTGGTTTTGCTTGCTTGTTTGCTGTTGCCCACCACTTTCATTGAGAGGGAGTGGCCTGGATCAGCTGGGAGGATCCTTGTTGGGAGTCTGCAGAGTTGCATGCTGGCCTTGCTGTTAATGAGCTGTGTGAACCCTGGGCAGGTCTGCCTCCAGGGTCTCTAAAATTTCTTCAGCAGGAAAGGAAAGCAAGGGGTTTGGAAAATAGAACTGACCTGGACCAAATGATAAGAAATGTCATCCAAAGTGCTTATTTTGTGTATTTCTGTGAATGGCAGACAGCACACTGGGAGTCCTCATCCCTCTCTGCAGTCCCCAAACCTCTTCTTGACCTTGCAGTTGAAGGGTCATACTGAGGCCATTTTAAGCATTCAAGGTACAGCTAGGCAGTTTGGAAGCCTTCTTCATGTACTGTTAGTGTGCCTCTCCTTCCCTCTTCTTTCTCCTCAGGAGCTACCTGCTTGCTTTCTTACCTTCCTCTCAGTGCATTATCGTGTGTGTAATGGGTAACACTACACTCTCAAGTTTGTCACCCTTTGTGAATGTCCAGCCATCTCATCTGAGTTAGTGGAGGGAAGGGAGAACTAAAGGAGACTGGCTAAAGGATGAAATAATGGTCCTTTTGTTCTGTCTTTTGCTGTAGGGATGGTTTCATGTTTCATGTCAGGCCTGGACCATTGTGGTGTTTTTACATGCGCAGAACAATCCTGCTTAGAAATACAGCTCATTACTTAAAGGATTCAGCTGTAATGCCACAGGCCTGTTCTGCTTACCTCCTCACCCTCCACCTCCCAACAGGTTATAGGTACTAAAAGTCCATTGTAGTCTGTGGTGTTTGATTGGCTCCCCAGACGCTGGTTTTGAAATGTAGTCCTACTATATTCATTATGCAAATGCTTATATGGAATGTTTCATTCTGATAACCTTCCAAAATGTTTTCCTTTTTATATAATAATCAGTAGCAGCTGTGAAACATGCCTTAACTGTGTAACTTCCTTCTTAAACGTTATCTTTTGGATTCTCTGTTTTAATGCTTTTTTTTTTTTTTTCGATGAATTTGAGTTTGGGGACCCACATTGCTATGCCAGACATCTATCTTACAACAACGTGCCTAGATTTAGCTGACGACCCTAATTAGATGTGGAATGCTGAGAATGCAATGTTAGGGTTTTTCAAACTTTTATAACAAGAAGTGAAATTCTGATCACTTTATTAAGTTATAAAACATTCCTGTTTTTTAGCATTTAGTTTCCCATTTTAGTCTGCCTGTAGAAAACTAAAGTAAAAGATAACTTTATATTACTAAGTGATCTGTTTTTTGAACACAAGTTACCTGCCGTGTTAATATGCAAGTTCTGTTTGACTTACAACACTTAATTCTCCCTCCTATCCCTTTCTCTTTAGAAGCAAAAGAGTATTGAAAATGTTAAAGGCTGTGCTGAAGAAGAGCCGAGAAGGAGGAAAGGGTAGCAAAAAGGAAGCAGGTATGTGTACAAAAAATGAGCTGCACTAGTGTGGGGGGCAGGGGAAGGGGCACAAAGCAGCAAGACTCATTGTAGGCTGTGTGGATTTCACTGCTTTGGAATGGGTCAGAAAAGTGATTTGGCGTAAAACAAATCGCATGCTGGAGGCTATAAGAAATGAAATACATTTCTGAGCTTTCCTATGAGAAGTGACTTTGAAAATTGAGTTGGGTTGTGACCCCAGTCCTTCCCCAGAAATCTTTTAAGGTTCATAATTTTAACAACTCATTCACAACGAGACAGTAAAGTCACTGACATTGAGGAATAGCAGGTGTCTCCAGGAATTTGGTTTCTAGAAAGCCCATACCCTTTTCCCACACATGATTGCATTTTATATTTTTGACCAACTGCTGGCTGACTGGTCCTCATCTTTTGAGTATCAGATTTTCCTCCTAACAGGTGTGGCCTCACTCAATGCCAGACTGCTAGTTTTCATTTTGATGAGAGCTGTTTAATTTGACTTGAATTTCATTCCTGTTTGTGGAGTTCTGGTGCATGCTTGCTCACTGAGACTCTGCAGTGCATTCCTTGTGATAAACTCCTCTAAGAATATCTCGGTGACCAGTCAAGTGTTACACCCTATTTCTCTCACTAGCACTACCTAATGTTTACACAATAAAAATATGATAGCTGATAGTTGTGAATCAGTTTCCCTAAACTATGGCATTTATTTCTGTAGTGTAGTGTTAACCCAGAGAATGACTAATTTCCTAAATTACTCTATCAAAATAATATTTCAGTTTTAATTTTTATTAAAATATAAATAAGGGGCCCTCCCTGGTGGCGCAGTAGGTTAAAGCACAGCACAAAGAAGCTTAAACCATTTCCGCATGAGTTTGATCCCCGCCTGCCCCGGAGGAGACCCACATGGCGCCGGAGAGCTCTCCTGACCCGCCCGCTGCTCCCCTCAGCGGTGTACTTCATCGATCTGCCTGTTCTGTACCCCACTCTTGTCTCTGGTGAATCCTCTCACCCTCCGTATCTCTGGCCTATACCCCAGTTCTGTACGAATAAATAATAAAATAAATCTTTAAAAAATATAAATAAGGGGCCCTCCTGGGTGGCACAATAGGTTAAAGCACAGCACTATGAAGCTGTCCGCAGCTACTGTAGCACTAGTTTGATCCCCGGCCAAGGAGGTGACCCACATGGTGTGGCAGATCTCTCCTGTCTGGCCCGCTGCTCCCCTTAGCAGTGTATTTCAGTAGGTCTGCCTGTTCTGCTCCCCACTCTGTCTCTGGTGAACCCTCTCACCCCTCACACCTCTGGCCTGTACCCCAGTTGTTGTATGCATAAATACATAATCTTCAAAAATACATACAATCATGCTTATTCCCGAATAGCAGTGGATTACATAGTTGATTAATTCAAGGATCTTGTAATACCTTGTGATATTTAAGTTCTCTTACACGGGCTAAAAGGTGTAGGTTTTGTACATATATAAGAATAAGTAGCTTATAAGCTTTTTGTTTATATGGAACCTTGACCAAATTTTATTAATTGGTCCTTAAACCATTTCCGCAAAATGAGAAACTTAACTTAAAAGTTGGAGACTTTATTTTAAAGCTGTTGAGATTCCATTAGAAGCTTCTCAGTAATGCCTGGGTAAAAAGATACAAAGAAATAAAGAAATTAGTTTTTAATAAAGGAAACAGGAGACCATAGTTAGCTCTTGACCTTAGAAAATCAGCCCCTAGTTTTGAATAATTAATTAGATATGTTACTATGGAGAATTTCAGTTGATGTAATTTCTATTCAGGTTGGACATTTTCACCCTCTGCTTGGGGGAAGGCCAAAATATCCTTTTCATTAGTTCTCTGAATGCTGTTTAAAGCAATTTTTTTTTTTTTTGCCTCATCTGGCACCATCTTAAAAACTTTATGTGCTTCTTTAGATGCCTTTGTAATTCCTAGCATAAAGTTAGATCCTAACCTATCTGTGATTATTATTTCAGGACTGTGGCATCTAAGCCAAAACCCCCTACTTAATAATACTTACAATAGACCACCCTTTTTGACCAGTGCCAGACTCATGAAATAACAGTATATTAATGACTTTCAGCACCCTGCCTTCAGACAGGCTGGGCAGTGGACATAGTTTTCTTCTGAAGCTTTATTTCAGTTTTTGAGCGATGAATGTTGGGTTTATTTCCCTCTCTGGTGTCTAGGAGCAACTACTGCTCTTTCTGAATCATTTCTTAATAGTAATTCCCACACTATAACTTTTTACTAATGCAAACCAACTTGAAAAAGCACTGGGAACATTTCTCGTAAAACATCTGTATGGTATGTGCCTTTTTCCTCTTAACTAGAACCTGGTTGTATTACTAGGGGAACAAAGCAGATGGAATTTTAAATGTTGATGAAGTTATGTCACAAGATGATTGGGGAAAATACTTGGAATTTAACCATTCATATGTTGAGCACTGTGCCAACTCTCATTATAAAGTAAAGCATAACTGTTTCTCTGTAAATTAAAGCTAACTAATCTACTGAGACTGTTCTGAAACTTGGGTAATAATATTTCCTGCAATATGGAAATATTTTCCCCTACTGTTTCTAATTAAACCAATCTTTGTTGAAAAGACAAAGGAAAACTCATTTTTATGTACTTGAACTGAAAATTCTAGAAATTTAGGAAATAATCTGAAATACAAAGTTCAGCTTTTCATGTTTACAAAGGACATGAAACGCTGTAGTAGACACTTTAATGTTGAATCTATTTTCAGAATTTGGAAATATCACGGAATTAAGTCCTTCAAAAGAGGAAAAGATACCTGAAGTATTGAAAAGTTGTCACCCTCAGCTCCTATCCTTAACAGAAAATGTCATGTCTGTTTTAAACTATTGGTAAAGTTTTAGCTAGTATTGAAATATAAGAACTATGTATATAATTTGAAATATATACCATGATATACTCAAAAAATTGGAAAGTCACTGAGTGAATTCTAAAAACAAATTTTTTTTTTCGGATTGGTTTTTTTTTTTTTGGTTAGAGATAGTATTTCAACACTGCATATAATTTAGAGGAATAGGTTTACACTTTCTCAGATGGATAGCTCTTCACCACATCCACCACTAAAACATTCTTATCTTTTAACCTTAGGCCATTGGGCGCCCCCTCCCAATATTCCACTTTTAGTAGCCTCAATCCCTAGTTGTATTTCTAGGATTTGTTTTTAGTTTGACAGTTGCTTTTTTTAATTTTGCTATAATCCATATATGAGTGATATCATTGGTGTTGGTCTTCTGATTTATTTCACTCAGCATAAGCCCCACCAGTTCCCATCTATCTTATCTCAGGAAGTAAGATTTAACTGCATAGTATACTATCATGTGCATGTGTATCTTCTTAAGCCACTCATCTGTCACTGGGTATTTAGGTTGTTCCATAACTTGGCTGTTGTAAACCGTGCTGCAGTGAATGAGAGTGTATATATTTCTTTGAACTAGTGTGTTTTGTTTTTGCATTCTTATGGATAAATACCAAGGAGTGGAATGACTAGATCACATGTTATATCTATTTTTAATATTTTGAGGATCCATAATGTTTTCCTTAGGGGTGGGACAGTCTACATTTCCAGCAGTAGTGTATGAGGTTTGCTTTTTCTCAACACATTTGCCTCCTTACGTAGTTTTTTGCTTTTCTGACATGGGCCATCATGGAAGTGAGGTGGTATCACATTGTTTTTATTTGCATCTCCCTGGTAAGTGATGTTGAACATACTTTCATATACCATTTGGCCATCTGTATGGCTTCCTTGCAAAGTGTGTGTTTAGCATTTCTGCCCATTTCCTGAATTTTTTTTTTCTTTTTGTAGGAGTTCTTTGTAGATCTTGGTTATTAGCCCCTTGTTGGATGTATGATGTACAAATATTTTCTTCCATTGAGTAGGATGACTTTTCATTTTTTTAAAGATTTATTTATGCATACAGAACTTGGGGTGCAGGCCAGAGGTGCAGGGGCATTGTGAGGATTTACCGAGACAGAGTGGGGGAGCAGAACAGACAGATCAATGAAGTACACTGCTGAGGGGAGCAGTGGACGGGTCAGGAGCTGTCTGCCACGCCATGTGGGTCACATCCGGGGCTGGGTATTGAACTTGCACTGAAGCAGCTGCGGCTGGCTTGCAGTGCTGCATCCTAACCTGTTGTGCCACCAGGGAGGGCCCTGAAGCCAGTGCTGGAAAATGTGTTGTCTATGCTTCCTTCTATATATTTGATGGTTTCTGGTCTTGCATCCAAATCTTTAAATCCATTTTGAGTTCATTCTTGTGTATAATGTAAGTGTGGTCTTTTTTTTTTTTTTTTTTGCTTATGGCTGTCCAGTTTCCTCAGCGCCATTTGTTGATGAAGCCTTCCCTTCTCTGTTGTATAGTTTTGGCTACTTTGTGGTTGATTAACACCTAGTAAATATGAGTTGGAAATGGTTATAGCAGAGCAAAAAGTGTTTTGTGAAGGCTATAGAATCATGTCAGAATGCAATTAAAAACTTTAAAATGTTTTTTGGGAAAGTCCTTTTACCTTGTCCCCACTATTCTATCACTGCAAATGAGCACTATATTTTTTATTGACCTTGAGTTAGGCTTTAGAGAGCAGAAATCAATAGTAAACCATAATGTGGGGAGGTCAGGCAGTGGCATCTATTTCTTTTCTTTTCCCTGATGTTATATTAGGATTTTGGTCTGAAACATACTAATGAGTTGTTATATTTATTTTGAAGTTCTCCCAAAGACATCTACCACCTTCTGTCACATGTTTCTTTAAATCAGCTCAGAAAAATTTCAGCTTCCTATCGTTAAAAAATTATTTAAAGATAAAAATAATTACTGTCTCTGAGAATCATCTGATATCAAATCTGGAACAAATAAGAATTTAGAGTGACTATATGAGCAACACAGACTGGTAATATTGTGTTTGTACAGCTGTGTTGTGTAGTTGAGTAAATGAACAGTAAGACAA